AAAAAAAATACTTCTTTTAATAAACATAATTTACTAAGTAAAATTATTAAAATTCAATTTACACAAGGTAATTTTAACCCATTTCTTAAGATCAAAGAGCAATAAAAATACAAAATACATTTCTCTTTATAAAAAAGAAAATAATAAAGCAAATAATTTATAGATCATTTTTCGTATTAAAATATATTCATAAAATAATGATTTGTTATTATTTATTTAAATTTTTTATGATCATTCTTGTTGAAATAATTTGGGTAATATTTCTTAAATATTTCTACTCTAATAATTGTATATTATTAAAATGCTGAAATAAATAATGAGAATCAAATCTTGATTTAATTGAAATGTACCTGACTTAATTTAGTTCCTCGATAATTCTGAGGCTATAATCATAATTTGCCTTACATTGATAATTAATAGACCTCTAATAATTATGTTTGATTGCCATCCTCAATATTTAATGTTGATCGGTTGTAGTTTAAGAAATTACAATTTATGAATCGTTTCGAAACATAATTTTTATAAGCGATAACACATTTGCAGTTAAATTATTTAATATTAGAAAATGGATTCTATTTAAATAAAAGAATCAATGCTAATTTAGACATAAGCGAGATATTATTATTTATTAAGCCAAAGAAGATTTATATTATATTTTAGATAAGTATCATAAAGGGAAGATAAAATATCCAGATGAAAGTAGTTGTTTTTTGAATGGAGAATTTCAACTGGATCACACTTATTTAGTACTAAAGAATAAGGAGTAATTTAATAATTAATCCTTTATATAGGATTGTAGGATGAAAATAAAATAAATGTATAATACTATTTCAGCAAAGCTTTTAAGAATAAATAAATTATTATTGGAAAATATAAATAGCTTTAAATAGAAGATAGACTAGTCACATCAATAATATTTCCACAAAATCAATATTATCAAATTGTAGAATTTTCGATTACAATAACTATAAGTTTTAAGAAATCATTTAGGTAATATAGAATGCTTATTATTTTAACAATTAAAATTCATTCATAGAGTTGCTCACATCAATTTTAAAGATTTACAATTTCTCTTGAAATAAATAATAGAGAATATTTTAATAATATCTGTATCTTAAGATATATAATTAAAAATTTGGACATGGGATGAGATGGGCAAGATATATTAATGCAAATAGATCCGTTAGAGTTCTGTTAAGCTGAAATATATTATGTTGAATAACTAAGAAAACTTAATTGTCTATTGTGGCTAGAACTCAATCTATTTTGAGAATTTAAAAAATCCTATTTTTTTATAAAAATAGAATTTTTATTTTGAATTAAAATTCTATTTTTGGTTAAAATTTAATCCTTCTTTTCAAAATAATTGCGACTTATTCATCAAACAATAAAATAATTCTGATTCAAAAAAATACAGAAGTCATAGATTAATTGGTTTATCTGTTAGAAATAAATGTAAACAATTTTACACCATCAATATGTTTTATTTCGGATTATATAATTCTTTATTAATCAATTAGTGAAATGTCTATTAGATTAATTAAAGTAAATTATGAATATGATGAAATTTAACATTAGAGCGTAATATTGATTAATTAGGACTGTGATGATCACACTACTTTTCAAGTGCAGTTTATTAAAAAAGGAATTATAATCAATCAAAGCAAAATCAGTTCTTAATTTAATCTTTATTACTCAGAATACATGAATAACCAATCACTACAATCGCCATCAGTGAAATCAGTAACATTAGATCCAAGAAGTTCTGTCATAGCATGATTATTAGTAGATATCAATTTACCAACCAGAACAATTATTATGAGTAAATGTAG